CGTACTGTTACTTATGTCGACAAGTGGATCCTTTATGACAACCGGCGAATATATGTTCAATGGTTGGACCGCGATGAACCTAAGTAGCACTTTCCAAAGCCGAAACTGGACCGACAAAAATCCATGCTAACTGGTTGGTGGTTTGCCGCCAAACTGCTTCTTCCCAGTTTTCTAAATTAGGGTTATATGATTACAGCGTAGAAGCACGTCCACCGAATCAACGAGATGTTACAAAAACGTCAACGACCGCAATCAATACTGGTTAACGAGAACGCACCAATCCTTCTTCACGATCATGCACGGCGGTACATCGCAATACTGACACTGTGAAAGTTGGACGAACTGCGCCTTTTCACATCTACCATAGTGATCAGACCACTCACCTACCGATCACCACTTCCTCACCCAGCCGAAACTGCCTTCAAAGACTGTACCGTCCCCAGAATCCCAGAATTTCAGTAAATCCCCTGCATCAGCAGTCGTCCCGTTGACCGTCTGATGACCCGAGCGAGCGCCACCAATTCTTCCATTTCTCCTTGTCGCGTGCAAGATTAGCACAGTGGGTCCTGCTCGCTCTAGAGATCCGTTGAGCATCGAATCATTCTTCTAGGGTTTTCGTGAATGACGATCAAGTGGGTGGTCTTCCGGATGTGCGTTTGATATCTCGAAAAATCCACCCAATAGTGGGTCTAATCCATCGGTGGTCGTTCATATGCATTGCGTGGCTGCCGCACCTCATTTTTGGTAGTTTTGGCGTATAGAACGGCGTCTTTCATTTTCTATCTTTGATGCAGATTGGAGTTTCGGAACTATTCCCTCACTTGTGTGATACGAGATACTCGTAGCATCGTCCTTTCGTCTGCACGTTCAATAACTCTGATTGACCCTTTATCGTTCTAACATAGCAACCGCCAAGCTTCTGACGCATAGGTTAGCGCAGCAATAATCGCGAAATCGAAAAGATAGGCATCGAGTCGGGTGTTCTTTGTTCACTTCACTACATCCTCGATGTTCTTCAAAGCTCCCTAAGCCAATCGCATCTTCCTGATCAACCTATGAATTGCTCAACACGTTGATTTCCAGACCTAGATAAACGTAGCTGGAACATTCAAAATCAGCAAGCATTCGTTCCGTCTGCCTAATGCTCGGTGTTATAAGAATGATGTCATCATCCACGCGAAGATGGTGTAATCGCCAACCATCGACTTTCCCTCATATGTTGTCTATTCCATGAAAATCTTTGGATAACGTCCTGGAGGGTAACCGTAATTTTGGCGAAATGGTATCACCTTGTCTAACCTTCTTTTGACGTCAACGTTAATATCATTCTAGTTTGGTGGCATTTTACTTTAACTGTGAAACTTCTATATAACTCACGAAGAATGTTAGTATACTGAGTAGCGACTTCCTAGATATCCAGGACTTTCATGACTACCATCTCAACTGAGTTAAAAGCTTTCTTTAAATCGGCGAAAGTGACACAGAGCGTTTCCTTGTCCTCTTACTAAACTTCAATGGTTTTGTTACCGTGTGGATGTGGTCTATCGCACTGAATCCTTTTCGAAACCCTGCTTTCACACATGGCCGCCCTTCCTCCAGTGTTCTGTCAATCCTGTTTAGGATGACTCAAGTGAAAAGTTTGTAGACGACAGACACTAAGCAAATTGAGCGGCAGTTGCCGATCTCATGGAGGTCACCCTTTTTGAGCAACAACACAGTTTTTCTGGTTCTCCATTGATTAGAAACCTCATGGTTCGATAGATAACGTATGAAGACCTGTGCCAGTGTATTTACGAATGTCGGAAGGTTCTCCAGGTGTTAATATATTATTCTATCCGGAACTTGTATTGTTTGGCTTTTTTGCCGACGAAAGAGAGGATTTCGGATAGGAAATCCGGTGGGACAACATATCCATCCTCGTTTACTTTGCATGAGATGAGGAAGACGTGGTTATTGAAGAAATCCAAGTAATTATCGCGAATAATTTTCGCCACTGTTTTTTTTTTGGAACATGCAACTGCTCCGCCTGGGCGTTAGAGTGTAATAATCTTGGCTTTATATTTGGCGAAGTTTCGGTAGGTTTTACAAACACTTTTCCCAACCTCTGCAGTTTCGACCATAACTGCTGCTGTTCTTTCTTTAAGATGCTCCTGTATCGCCTGTTTGCATTGTTTTGCAAATTCAGACGTGAACTTGTAGCTCTGATTCCACACAGGCATATCAGGTCGAGTGTTTCTGGAGACAGATGTCTCCTGCAGACTTTCGAACTCTCAGCTTTCATAGAGCAAACGTGAAGCTGTTGAATGACCCGATGATATCCCGCATCAAGGCCATGACGAAAGGCATTTCATCAACAACAGAGAATGATGCAAGCAATTCCCAGTTTTTGGTTGTTTTCTGACTTCATTTTCCGAATATAGTGGCTTTTTCTATTTTTCGCCAAAAAGAAAATCTTGTATTAAGGAGGCGATAGATAGTTTGATCCGTGCAAAATTTTACGTACTATTTCGTTATAGTACTCCTCATTGGGATACTCTCACGTTCTGCGCTGAGAGTGGGGCTTCTGGAATTGCATCTTAGTATGAATGGTCTTCATCGTAAAGATAAACTCAGATAGCAGATCATCACGTTCATCTCATTCTGATGCGTTGGTCCTCATTCGACGTCCATTACACGTTCTTCTGAGTCCAATATAGCGTTAAAATATCCAGTGAAGACCTTAAAGAATGTATGGTCTACTCCGCAAAATTTCTCCAAATCCATACAGAACGTTTCGATACCTTCTTCGCCACAGCTTGATATCTGTGCGTAAACGACGAAGATTGTCAAAGTCGGTATTGATCCACATCTCTTCAAGCATAAACGTATGATTTAGGTTTCTATTTTCCGAATGAATCGATGTTCATAGCTAAACTCGTTGAATGAGTGGCTCTTTCTCGACACGACCAGTCTGATGACACACTTTACATAACTTTCTGCATAATCAAGTCCACTATCGAGGAGTTGTATGCAAGTAAGCATGCGTTGTAAGTACAAATCTTCACTTCAGCCCGTTGCGAATTAGACAACCTATAATGGTCCTGAGATGCTAGCAGGCTATCTGTACTCATCGTAATCAATGCTACGGTACGCTGGGCTTTTTCGGGTTCAGAAGAATGATGGCTGTCTATTTTAATGTGTTTAGCATTTGATACTCACCTATAGCTTGCTGACCTATGCGCGTGGAGGGTTGGTAGACTCCCACGTGGCTTGCTGGTCTCTCCGAGATAAGACGGTGGAACTTATTTGTTGGAGACGACTCCCAACCGCCTCTTATATACTTCATTGTCACTTTATTGCAGGCTTTTAGACGAATTGAGTGGCAGAATACAATCCGAATAAATGAGAACAGATCCATGCCGCATGCACGTATATGTATTCGTAAACACAAAAGCTACGACTCGTTCCTCCTTGGCAAAAATATGTAGATTCCTATCAATCTTATTTTGATTAATAAACTTCATTTGGACCGTGGGGCGTCACCTTGAAAATACAGGTTGAAGTCGGATCCGGAGATAATCACCGTCGAGTCGATGACGAGTGCCGAAATATCTCACTACTCTTATCAGTAACACTTTGTGGCCTCAACAATAAATTTGCCCAAAAAAAGTTCTTCGTATATTAGCAAAAGCACAAAACAACTTTTGTGAACCGATCCCTGAGCTGGATCCGGATAAGCAACCTAATTAGTAGAAAATACTGACCTGCAGAGCTTGTAGGCAGCAAAGATTGCAAGTAGTCAAAAAGCTATTGGCAAAAAGGTAGAGAGTACCGATTACAGATTATAAAACTTGTACTTTTTCATTGATAAGCTAACACAAGGTTGACAGAATACTTCACTGGGCTTACGTTTTCACGTCTTCGCCTTCTCCAGAAAAATTAGTCTATCTGGACATGACCTTTATAACAGTAGTAGAATATTGCGAGAACCTGCGAGAACGCAAAATAGCAAACACGTATACTATGCGGAAGCACATTCATTAACGCAAATTTTTTATTTAATCCGTCCTCACGTCTACTACGTGGATACCAGCACTTCCCACATCCAATTCGTTTCCTCGCATCCATCATCAACGAAGGTCTTCCAAGTTTTTACTTGTGGCTTCGGTTCTTGCTTGAGGATTTTCATTTTATCTTGAATGTCGTAGAATGCTGGTCGAGTAATTCTCTCTGTAGTCCTGAGATAGCCGGGCTGTAGCGATCCCAACTGGATTGCAGATAGTTTTTTTCTCAGAAAAGTCCGGTACCAATTTCCCCACCCGAGGGATGAGAGAGTTGGCTGGCCCGAAGTGGAATCGAACAAGCACCATGCTCGTGATGACGGACATCACTACCACTGTGCTCTCCGCCCATTATACAATAGTATTGGGGATGATTAGTATAAAACTGTACTAGAAATACACCTATATAACTTCCTTCCTTCCTTCCTTCAATGATTTACTATCTCACTAAGTGCAGAATTTAAAGTTTAAAGCAGATCAGAGACACCTCGGTACCCACCTCAATGGTAAAAACGTCTGTACTAGATAGTTCACTCCTCACTACCAACATTCTCTTCCCCAATGAAATAAACTCATCCAGAAAACCATCTTTCAAGCGGTGCTCTACTGAAGCAGATTCGATTCGATATAACACAGATATCACATCGAGAAGACGAACGGCTGTGTACCATTAAGTCGGATCGTCACTTCAGAGAAAGACGACGACGTCGAAACAGCCGAATAAATGTTTACCAACAACCTCTTGTTAGCGAGACTAATCAGGCTCGCCATTGGTTACCTTGGTTTAAATTCGATAAGCTATCCAGTGAAAGCAGAAATGCATACGTTGAAACCAGATTAAATTTGACCTTAAGTGTTAATGGTTTGTGTACCTTACGCCTGACAGAGTTAAGATAGCGATCTAGATAATTTGAATCTGGAGGTTCAGGGGTAATGAGTGAAATAAGTACGCCCTTTTGGTCAACAATTTGTGAAACCTACTGAACAAACTGTAAGATGCCGTAAATCAACTCGAGGTAACTGCAACTCTGGTTTCCAATTGTGATCTGGCAAACAATCAAGAACGGCATCCGAAAATGGCGCATGTGGAATGTCATGTTCTAATAAGAGCACCTGAAAATGTCGACATAGTAGCCAAGATGTTAGCCACTTCTACAAGACCCAATTTTTCCTTTCATTAAACAACGATAGAGAGAACAACATAAATTCTCAATCCGGAATCATATATTTCTAACTTTAAAACAAGCTCTTTACTTCATTCTCAATCTCTCGATCGCCAATTTTCCCAAGCGCTCTCACATAGTGTCCAAGTGGATAAGAACTATCACGTGGCCACTGATCGATGCTTACCACAATACGCTGATTCTCCAGAATATCAGCCTAAATGAAATATAAAGCAATCAAACAATTCAACTACAAAAATTAGAGATATTGGACGTGGATCCAGTTCCTCCTTCAATTTTGTAAAAAAAAATGCGATATGATCTCAACATCCTGAACGGTCTGCTTTCACGTTCGCTCAACAGAGAAACTGAGCAGCCAACTATCATTTTCTACTAAACTTTCTATGCATACGGAAATTAACTTTTTCAATTTACTGCGAATATGAAAACATTTGATAAAACTAATAATAATAATAAGGTAATACCCAACAAAAGCCACTGCTCGGAGGCACACTGCAAAACACACCGGGGGTCGATCCTCGCGCCCGTGGCTCACCAACGTTCCATCCTTCCGGGGTCGGCAAACTAGTGCCAGACTTGTATGTGAAGACAGTAGCACTGGCTGCATACATTCAATCACCTTAAAACGATGCTTAATGAAGTCGAATGCATGGCGCGTATCTCAGAGATTGGTCAACGCCGAGAGCTTTACCCTTTCTATCCTTCAATACCAATAACAATGTAATCTGCGGAACTCGCACGACTGCGACACCATGTGATTACTTTGATACTGGTGGTGGATCCTGGTATAGGTTTACTCCTAGCTGGGCTCCCTGACGCAACCGCCGGACTCCTCAACATGGAAGACCCTCTCGCGGGTATGAATCCCTCCGCTGTATATCGCAGCCCAACACCCTGTAACACCTCCCAGCCACAATGAGGCGCTAAACCGATATATATATATGCACATATATATGTATATAGTCTATATATATATATATACATAAAGCTCTCTAAAGCTCTCGGCGTTGATCAATCCCTGAGCGATGCGCCATTCATTCGACTGCACTTAGTATCGTTGAAGGTGATTGAATGCATATCTGGCCTTTGCATTGACACGCGGCGGCCTACCGATGTATCGAGCCAATGCTGCTATCCTCCCAAACAAGTCTGATACCAAATTGCCAACCCCGGAGGAATGGAAGGCTTGGTGGGCCATGGGCGCGGATACCGATTCCACATGCGTGTCGCAGTGGCGTCTCCAACAACCGCGCCACACACGCCCCGTATATATGTACATACACGTATACATATATATATATATATATATATATATATATGTACTTATGTCAAATCGTCAAAAAATAACTGCTCTGTTATTTTCTTGGATTATTAAGCTAATAGCCATATACTTCTGAGTTAGACAAAAATCCTAGACCATCATAAACACCTGTTCAGTTTCTATCCGGATTCGTGGAATTAGGCGATTACTCGGACAAAATAGGTGACGACGAGCGTTCTTCAGTTGGCTACGCATCAGAATACCGCAGTAAGGCCGCCAGTTTCTTTTCATTATTCCTACAACCTAGAAGTACTCACATAGTTCTACTCTGTGCCTACTCTATAAAAGAAATCCTACGGAGACAAGTAGTCAGTTTTAAGCTAATCTGCCACATATATTACTTTAGCAGTAGGCATCGCAGCTAATTTAGCATGCTTCCTCATCGGTTCTTCATCCTTTTCAACATTTCCAACTTCGTCATCAGCTTTCACCTCGAAATCCTCGACGTCTCGGAGACATACTTTCTGAGATGTCACTTCTATAGCAAATCAGAAGGAAATGATTAACCATCTGGATCAAATCAGTACCTTTTCAGGCACTGTCCAGTCATGTTCGGGTAACAACTGAACAGCAACAATATCACCGTCAATAGCTCTGTTACAGTTCAAACCTTGAACGAACCATGAGGTCATTGTACTTGGATCCACCAACACATATGCCTCGCGATAATTCTCACGAGATACCTAAAACAGAGAAAAATTTTATAAAATGTGGATACCAGAAAGACAACAGAGTAGCCTGCAGTCTTAGAACTCACGGAAAAGGCACCCTTCTTAATTGTTCCTTGAGTTATACCTCTATCAATTTCATCGTGAGAGAGATAGTTTTCATAAATGATTTTGCCATCAACAGCAGAAGTGTCATAAGCCGCCATACTATCAAGCAGCTCACACTTCTTAGGACTCTGCATCCCTGAAACGTTCAAATAAGCTACGTGATTACATAGATTGGACCTTGGGAAGAGCAAATGAATTACTTCACCCATTGTACTTTACCGTACAAATTTTCCTCTCCATCGCTAAGAGAAACTTTTTTAGCAAAGTCCACAGAAAAATAAATAATAGAAACAAAAGGACCACAAATACGAGGAAAGGCCTTCATAAAGATGACGTTTGATTTCACTGTAGTTATAAGTTCAGAAATCCAATGCTCCTTAATTAATCAAGCACCAGCCTTGTACATATTCCTTGACGGTGAAAGAAAATTCATAGTGAACTTTGAGCCTTGCTACGACGTCACTCTCGGCACATAATATCACAGGTAAAATGTCATCTTTGGCCCAATGAATATTTAGATACTCAGCACAGACACATAGAACCTTTTCACGTCTGAAAAGGAAAAATGTTCAACAGCAAAAACAAATAGAAAAAATGAGAAAGGGTCGGAGTACCTCTGAGCATCAGTGAGATACGCTTCAGGTCGTACGAATGTCTTATGGTGGAACTCGCTCATGAACACAGAAAATCGAGGATCTTTGTCCTCGTAGATAATTTTGTTGAGCTTCTTGTAGGTATGGACAGATTTCTGCTTGACAAATTCCCAAACGTTTTGGGTTATAATAACGTTTCTGAATGGAACAAATGTTTCCGTGAACGAAACAGAGCCACGCCCGATATATTAGGGAAATTCTACTAAAGCCTACGTAATACACGCTAATCTGGTATACTCTCAACACAAAAAACAAACAAATGCCAAATGCAGAACCCACTGGAAGAGATCGAAATCGAATATGTCAATGAAACGCATCAATCCCTCAGCGTCGACGATAACAGCATGATTACCAGGTACCAAGCGATTCTCACCACTGTTTGACTTTCTACCGAGATTATTACTAGCCAGAGATGCACATGGTCCACAACGGTGAAGCCCGCACGACAAATCATCTCGAAGATACCGCTCCACAGTGCGCTGCAACGAGAACCGCCCGATCGAAATTTGCCACAAGTGCTTCGAATTCTTTCAAAAGCCATGGAGAACACTGACCCTTAAACATCTGTTTTTGATTCTGAAGTTCGTCGAAAAGACCAGCCTGTCCACAATTCCACTTTGCTTCACATTCAATTCCATTGCTATGTCTGAACAATAAATAAAAACCATCTTTATTTACATGAAAATAAAAAATAGTAAGGTTGTTCATACTTCTCTTAGAACGCGTAGTGTACTTAGGCAAGAATTTATTCCTTATAAAAAGCTGACAACATTGCACTACTTTGAATAACGAACTCGCTAATATTCGACGACAAAGAACCAACAAAGTGTGTAACAGGCAGAAAGACATAAAGACAGACGAAACGACGGACACGTTTGGTGTAGTCGTGAACGCGTTAGCCCCTGGAAAGGGTAATAACGTGTTCGGTTCTCACCGCAAACACCAGCGGTCCGGAGTTCCGCAAATATCCCAGCACTACTGTGGTTATAAAGCGTATAATAAACACAACAGTTGAAGGAATGAATGGTGATTAACTCAACAATCACTTAACAGCTAATCTACTCAATTCTGTTAAAGACTCTTGGACCACCCTTTCTGTACCTCCTCATCTCTTCCGTAACGATTTCCCTGTGAGCTTCAATATCTTTCCTGAAAACTGGAAGCGTACTAAACACGGTAGAAACAAAGTGGAATGACTACAACATGTAAAACTCCGCTAACATGGGTCATTGTCTCTCTCAGAATACTATATACAATAGAATATAGAATACAGAATCCATGTAAAAACGCTCCGACAGACCTGTCTCTCTCCTTCATGAATTCTTTCTCAGCCCATAGCTTTTGCATCATATACGCGTCGTCATCAAGGTACGGAACTTCGTATTCCTTTAGACCTTCTCTAGGCGGTTCCAAATGCTCTTCAGCAGGTTTTCTTAATGTGGACGGTGAAAATAATAAGTTCTCTAAATTTGTTTTAGCTTGCTTTGGGAGCAAACGGACTTGAAGTAAAAGACGAGTGATGAACTGCACTCGAAATTAATCAGTTAATGCCTTAATTACTTCAGATATAGTGAAGCCCTCCCAATGGTTTACCGCCTCATCGCGGCTGGTAGGTGTTCTTGGGTGTCGGGCTGCCATGTATAGCGGAGTAATTCATCCCTCCACCAGGGACTCCCAAGATGAGGAGTCCGGCGTTTCCATTAGGAAGCCCAGATAAGAGTAAACCAATACCAGGATTCACAACCGTCCTGGTAACAAACTATTCGCTTGTTGGTAAACCTTACTCCGATCCACAAGGGCAGCGGTTGCCATTGGTGGTGACGACCTGGAGCATACCTTGGCTAGACTGACCTCAGGACTCCAGGGGACCGCAATGGCTAAACCAGCATAACTCCGAAAAAACGCAAATTGTGGTCGGGCCCACACAACCAGCGAAGACGGGCCATCCAAGTGCAAATATGCATGCAAATAAGATATTGTGACGCATTAGAAGAGCTTTAAATAGTAGGAGAACAAACTGTACTTGAATGTGAAACCCATAAACGAAGTGATGGTGCGCATAGGAGGGCTCGCTCCATCACCGGTCTCGAGACGGTAGTACGCCTCATTCCGTTCGTGGACTACACTTTCGATGTTGCGCATTGTCTGAGACAGAAGTAATTGGAGAATAAATACAAAATGTCGTATTGGACCAAAGAACATATTCAGTATCATGAGACACTGGACAACAGCACTTTTCCACATTAAACAAATTTCAGCACATAGCGTATTTTGTTAGCGTGACTGAAAACCATTACAATCTATACACATTCAACAAGACAAACTTCTTCCCATTCTAATAAAAAAAAAGAATCCTAGTCTTTTTTCGAGCATCGAAATTTCGAATCTCTTATATATCACGGCTTACTCTCAAATAGCGAAGCGAAAGAAAGCACTAGACCTCACCTTACAAAACATGATGGTATCCCGAATGTTTCATTAAATTTGAGAAGTTGTAAGGTTGCGTTAATAAATTAAATTTCTTGGCTGCACAGACTTTTAAAAGTTGGGAAGTAAAAAAAATCTAAGCTGGATGCTGAGATATTTGCAAAACTCAGATTCTAGGCCAGATTCGAACTCGTGACTACTCTTTCCGAGGCTCACGTGTTGCCCACTGCATCACTAAGGCTCTTGCTTTGCTTTTCTCTGTGATCTTTTTCCTGAGTTTTGTAAATACCTCAGCAATATTGCAATTATACATGAAATGTTATCAAATAAAAGAACAAATGCGAAGTGGCAGAAGGATGAAATTATATTCATGAATTGTCATTCGTGATTTGTACCACAGCTTCAGCTAAACTGGGTTCAATGCCCATTTGTGCCCCCCAGATCAATCCCGTTGATGGGTGATTGCTGATAGCAGCCATAAGTCAATAACGGTTGAAAGAAAGATGAAATGAAGGATTCGAATGGTGTGGTGGTAAACGCGTTAGCTCTCGGAAAGGGTAATAGTTTGTTCGGTCCCCTCAGGAGACACCAGCGGTCGAGAGTTTTGCAAATATCTCAGCATCACTATGGTTAAAATTATCGGTATTCTCGAAATCGTTGTCTCAGTTTTAGAATAGTAAAACGGATGAGGAATGAACATTCTAAACACAGTTCAGGAGACTTCCTCTGGACAAAAATTACTGCACAGGTGTTATTTTATATAAGAAAAAACCAGACGGATAGTAACTGCCACGACTCAAGATAAACCTAACTGCCCAAGATATTTCCACGTGATTTCTGTGCGGTTGGTCTCTACGTGACATACTTAGTGGAAACTTCATAGAAAGCGGCTCTGAAGAAGGCGAAATCCGCCGAAACGTCAGCTTAATCGTGAACAAAGAATAGTAACACCTCGAGTTTGCTCAACAAAAATACGAAGAAAACCAGACGGATAGTGTCAAAACCGAAAGCAGATTACGAGCACAACTTTTCGAATAATTTCTACGCATCACTGAATTTCTTGTGAAACTCGATACTTTCGATTTAACCTGGTGTAGCTATAATCTTCATAGTTTAAGCAAAGTCCGGACATTGGACTTGCACCACAATGTCACTTCAGACAATGGTGACTATTAAGGGAACGAGTGTTTGTAACCAAATTACTGGAACCGGAGAGTTTTCACCGTAATGTAAATGTATTCCATTTTCATGCCAGCTTCTTAGCAAGGTGGGAGGATTTTCTAATGAGACTCATTTTAACAAATACCCACAACACATAGCACCCAAACTGCTTTCTATGACACTGATAGTAATTTCTGCACATGAGGAGTTCATAACTCCACAGATTTATGGGAGAGCTTTACCCATCACTCCACACTTATTTTCCTTGTTTTCCACTCCAAACTCCTTAATTACTGCTCTACGCACGTAAATATACACATAAATACATATACTCCACATATATACTCATAAGTACGTATATATAAACTTTACACAGTAGTACATTGGGGAGGATCGTAGTGCTCTGCTGAACAGAATTGCACTTATTCGAGTCTTTTCGTACTCGAAATATGAGCGTCAAAGAAGAAAAAAGACGGGAATCACTTTAAGTTAACTGCAGTAAATGAAAGTTTCATCATGGAACAACAAGAGATCTCGTATCTTGAGTGTACGTCGTTATTTTCTAATCACTTATATACTTGGGTACTTGGATGGCCTATCCTCACTGGTTGTATGGGTCCAAGTATAATCTCCATCTTTCGGAGTTTCACAGATTTAGCCATTGTCTTTCACTGGAGTCCCGAGGTCAGCCTAGCCAAAGTATGCCCCAGGTCGTCATCACGACAGACAGTCGCCACGCTTGTGGATCCGAGTGGGATTTGCCACCATGTGACTGGCTTGATACCAGGACAGTGGTACTTCCTAATATTGGTTTACTCTTAGCTGGATTTCCTGATGGAAACGTCAGACTCCTTCTCATCTTAGGAGGTCATGTCGAAGGGATGAGTCCGCCGCTATACATCGCAGCCCGACACCTAGGAACACATGTTAACCATGATGAGGCGGTAAACCAGTGGGATGGCTAAAGGCTGGACGGATACTATCTCCATATGAGGCCACGTCGCAAATGGATTTAAACGCTGGCGTCTATGGGTAAGAAGTGAAAGAGAAGTATGTGTAGGAACAGATTTCACGATAAGGCAAAGAATTCGAGATCATCTGCCTCTCAAACTGAGATAGTCGGCGACTGCCAAAAGTCCAAAACAAAAACGGCACTAAGATGCCATTACCTCGTTAACTCGATCAATGCGCTCTGGATTAGGCATAGCACGTGCATTGGAAACGTAAGCAGTCTCCATAGTGAGCAGCATATTGCGCTCCTTCAGACAAACGTACCTAAACAACCTTGCTGACGAATACGATAGTTCTCAAATATAAATATACACGCTCCAATACAATATAATAAAAGAATAAAGCTCTCGGCGTTGATCAATCCCTGAGCGATGCGCCATGCCTCGACTTCATTAAGCATCGTTTAGAGCTGATTGGATGCACATCTGGTCTTTACAATGACTCGTGTTGGCCTACTTATGTATTGAACCAGTGCCGCTATCCTCCTAGACAAGTCTGGTACGAATTTGGCGACCCCGGAGGGATGGAGAGTTTGGTGAGCCTAGGGCACAGCGATCGGTCGGTCCCATGTGTACTGCAAGGCGCCTCCGACCACTGGATTTCACGCGCTCATACAATTTAGTACTAATGTAATAAACTGATGGGAGCCTGTAGCGCAATGATTACAGGTACCCTGCAATACACACATAATCTTTGGTTCGATCCCGCCGTCCTAAGCCCGCCAAGCCCTCCATCCCTCCTAGGTTTGGAAACTGGTACCAGACTTGTCATGGAGAATAGCAGCACTGACTTGCTACAACGGTTGGTCACCGCAAGCTACCATACAGACTGGAGATGAATGCATGGCACCGCCCTCAGGAATTGATACATGCCAACAGCTTTATCCACTCTTTTTGTAGTAAATCGATATAATATTCTATTCCTAAGCGCATTATTCACAGTTTAAAAAGTGTAAGCATTTGAATACGTCAAGAATGAAGTTTAATATTACAATATAATGGACAATGTCAAATCTGAAATCCCACCCAAAATAACCAAAAGAGGATCAACATCACGCATGCAAAGTCGGTTAACTGAACTCGACGGAAACTCTACCGACCAGAGCTTGTGCAGATCGGAGTTGCTCTTTAGTCGCAATTCGTCCTCAGACCACGACCTCCCAGGTCGTTTCTTAGGCCGCAGCTCAGATTTCCCGAAATTTTCCTCATCGTCGAAGAATTGGCGAAACACCTCATTCCTTACTTGCACCGTGGAAGAAAGGTGTCTAATCGACTTGATACTGAAAATAAACATCCAGAGTCTGCATGAACTCAACACAACGAAACGTTACGACACGAAAACAAACCACCCTACGTTGACTGCTCTTGAGACTGCAGGTAGGAACATCGAGACCCTGAAACAAATCGTACTCAATGATCGGACTCTGGAAAAATCCATACTAGAATTGAACCGTTCAGAACAATTACAGAGGACAAGGTGCAAAGGATGATTTCTGATCGAACTCATAAGCGCAGCCTCGTTGCTCGTCGACTGTTAAACTACTGAGAACAAACAATCCGAGAGGCGCATGGAAGGATTCATTGGAATTCCATTAGCACCGAGAAAACAACAGAGTGAACATGTACAGAGAATCAGCTCATGAAAACCGGAAGTGTCTTCTCTTGCGCCTGAAGAAAACCACGTGTGGAGAAACCCGCTGCGGTCACCTGATCGAAAACAGACCAGAGGGTCCTCCACAAATCCCAGCAATTACAGGGCCACTGCATTTTAAGGAATGGTGCCACATACAGAAATACGAGCTACTTTAAATCTTAGTAGTAAAAGAATAAGAAATTAGCGATGATTACTGCGAAGACACCAACTACATGGTCATGGATTAATATTAAACACCACTAAGAAAGGCACAAACTCAGAAGTTCATCCGAAGTTGAGAAACCCGAAACTTCTTTTTATTCCCACCTAGTACTGGATAGCTCCTCAGCGATTCCAGCTGATCACTCCCATTTAAAACGATAGGTCGACATTAACCCTTTTCAGTCACTATAGCCAACGGAACCAACTGGGCTGCTCTTGCACGTGACAGGAAAAAGTGGAGGATTTACTGGCGTCCACTCGAGTTACTCGACGATCAGCGGGACTATAGGTGACACAGATAAACCTTTTTGAACTGAAAGAAAAGACATGAGAAAAACGTGCTCTGCTGAAGACGCGGATTTTCGTTGAAGTGAAAATGGTAACGCGGAAATGCCGCTACGTACAACATTTTTTAATGCACGTCATTCTCTGGTGGACGTGGCCGATTTGGGAACGAGGGCTTCGCCTCCTATTTCATTGTCTGTAGAGGTTGTGGTGTGAAGCTCATAGTTGTAGCTGTTCGTTTTCATCTGCTCGTCTCCTCAAGGAGCCTGCTTCGTTCAAACTGGTACGTGGGATCGACTTCGTCTCGTATGAATTATCAAATCGGTTCCTTCTGCTCACTCTCTTACTGTAGCCGTCTAAACTCAGTCGCACGATTTTCTTTGAGAATCATTCTGTAGCTGTGGAGAATATCAATTGGGTTTTAGATCAGTATACTTGCTTACTTACCTACTTGGATACTAGGACGGCCCGTTCTTGCTGATTGTGCGGGCCCCAGCATTATCTCCATTTTTCGGAGTTTTGCTGGTTTACCCATGGTGTTTCCTTGAAGTTCCAATGTCAACCTGGCCAAAATCTGCCCCTGGTGGTCACCACTACACGCAGTCGCCCTTGTGGATCATAGGGAGATTTGCCACCATGCGACCAGTTTCATACCAGGACGGTGGCGTTGGTCTACTCTTGGTTGGACTTCCTAATGGAAACGTCGGACTCCTTAGCTTGGGAGACCTTGCTAGGGGGATTAATTCCCCGCTCTACATCGCAGCCCAACACCTAGGAACACCTCCCAGCCACGATGTGGCGCTCAGAGGTTGACCAATTTAACATAAGAAATTCGTTCTCTGACTTAAAATTGTTCTTTAGCCAAGTTAAGTCTTTAGCTCCGTGCATAATGTATAAATACTGTGTTTCAGTCGGCCATATTCAACTTCCAAAGTCTGCTTTCTGTGTTGTTGCTTCTTATTTGTACGTGTGCTTACATCAGATCATTTGCACCAAAATTAATTGACAGGAATAAAGAAGGGTTAGTTTTCATATGTCTGGTCTTTGTACTAATATAAACTGTTCTCTTGTTTTTGTATTAATCTTTGTTACGGTCGTTTTGTTTACAGTAGCAGATATCTACAGTATTTGTAGTCTTTCAGATTACTTGGAGTGTTCTGGAAGTTGGCCAGAATTGGCGAACGTTTGAGCCCCTGGGTCGCGGCGAGTTGTTTCTGTATGGCTTTCGTTGTTTTGTTCCTTTAAGTAGTTTGGTCGGAAGCCAGTGATCACATGTTCTCTGGACGCATCGATGAATCTACTCATGAACTCAGAAGACGGCAGCCTCAGAAGCCTTCTGGGATCCGTGATAGCCACAACCACTTCTACGTTACTAAGTATGAGTCATTTCTTGCTACGATAGTTCAATGCTTGTCGCTTTCTACAAAGATGTCGTATTTTGTCAATTTTGTTTTGTTTGTCAATTACATGGAAATCTCATCAACATTTTTGGCATTTTTTCAACTTCCTCGAACTATTTTTCTCTGTAAAGACAATGTATTTCGCCACTAAAAGATTTGTTGTAATTGCAAGAAGCTTGTTTCTTGTAGCACTTTTTAGAATTACTTGTTTTCTTCTTCTGGAGTATATCAACTTATCTTCAGGAAGACATCCATTTCTGCAACGATGAAACGGGTTGAAGAAATGCTGAACAACAAAGAAGCTGAGGTATGTTTTATGTTCCGTCATCGCATATACTGTGCGGATCCCAGCACTTCTTGTGTTCGATTTGTTTTCTTCGCACTCATCGTCCACAGAAGTCTTCGAACACCACGCGTGTTGTTTCGGCTGCTGCTTGAGGATTTCGTTTTCTCTGTGGAAGTCAGGGAATACTGGTCAAGTTGATTTTCTTTGCAATCTTGGAAATAGCTGGGCTAAGGCGTTCGTTCCTATGTGGATTGGTGGAGAGCGTGGGAAGAGGGTCGGACCAACACCGTGCTTTTTGATGAACTCGATCACTAACCACTACAGCACTACCCCACCCACCTACCACCGAATGAGGTATATATCTTACCACAACTTGCATTTTCAGTCGTGTGGTCTTTTTTCATATTCTGTTTATCTCCATACTGAATTGTTTATGCAGGAGACCATCTTTATGAATATTCTTTTTGTTTAACGTTTTGTTTTCTGCCTTCTATAATTTTCATGGCAGGTTACTAATCGAAATACAACCACAACGTTGCTGAGATATTTGCAAAACTCTGGACAGCAGGTGTCTATGGTGGGGAACGAACGCGCTATTATCCTTTCCGGGGAGTAACGCGTTCACCACCACACCATGCGGGTCCTTTGTTTCGCACGTCTCTCAGCTATTTCTATCGATCTTTTTGCCACAGCAATCACCCGTCAGCGGGGTTGATCTGGGGAGCGCAAATCGGCATAGAACCCAGTTAAGCTATGGCTGTAGTTGAAATCACAATGTTTGACGTTTTGTTTTCTGCCTTCTATAATTTTCATGGCAGTGCGAAACAAAGGACCCGCATGGTGTGGTGGTGAACGCGTTACTCCCCGGAAAGGATAATAGCGCGTTCGTTCCCCACCATAGACACCTGCGGTCCAGAGTTTTGCAAATATCTCAGCAACGTTGTGGTAATATTCTTTTTTTTAGATTTACATCCACGGTCTTGGTTCATCATTAAATCGAGCCATGGTGCTTGCCATAGAAGTGCAGAAGACGCTTACTGATGCCATTTCTCTTAATTTGACAACCTCAACAGTAAACGTGTGTTAATTTCTATAATTTTCTGCCCAAAATCGTCAGAGCTTCCGCAAGAAGTTTTGTTGTTGTTGACAATTACGAGGAGTCTGGTAATCAAGTCGTCAACGTTTCTACTTTATAGGTGACTGATGACTTATTCCCACTGAGCGACGAGTTTGAGATGGGTATTCGCAATCGACCATTATCTGCTATTCATATTCACATACGTCGTGTGCAGCTTTAACTATGTGTCCACGTTCCGGCGATTCGAGATATTATTATGGCTCTCTGTTCTGTTATGGTTTCGTTAGCGGGGTGTTGGGTAAAGCTGGAAAATAAATTCTTTAGCATGTTTACATTTCCAAAATGCCATACAAAGACTATGCAAAAAGATCGTCTAGTAAAATGAGGTGTGGCAACAAGGCATCTCTTAAACCACTCTTCTTCCCTGCGTTTCCTTGTGCTACGGTATCGTGGTAATGAATAGACGCCATTTCCCACCACTACCAACCCCCATGTGTAAGGATTTCTTTAATAGCAGATAAGGAAAGCAGGATGCGGCATTGCCGTCGCATCACTGTGACAATCTATAGGGTAAAAAAAGGATAAAGCTCTCGGCGTTGATCAATCTTTGAGGGATGCGCCATGCACTCGATATCACTAAGCATCGTTGGACGTGATTGGATGCATATCCGGTCTTTACAATAACTCACGGTGACCTTCTGATGCATTGGACCAGTGCTTTTATCCTTCCAGGCGAGTCTGGTACCAATTTACCGACTCCGGAGGGATGGAAGGCTTGGTGAGTCCCGGCGACCGATCCCATGCATGAGTCACAGTGCCTCCGACCACTGCGCCATACGCGCCCTACTGGAGTGGCGTTATTTAGACGGATTACATCTATTGCTTCAAACAATGCCCTGCATGTAACCGTTGTGAGCTGTTACAGGATTCGGCGTCCTTAACTCCATAACGATTTTTTCAGTTCAAAGTTTGTGCATGTGGGTTGAGATGGAGCTTTAAACCATTCCAGGCTATCCGAATATAATGAAAATCGGAAGTATTGCCATTAGATAGGTTTCCATTCTTCTCGACAAGCTGTGGGGTCCACATACCCTACACGTAGACTTAAGTTCTGCATTGAGCATAAACAACTTATCTTTCGTGATCCAAGGGCAATACCACATGAAGCATAGGGGATGTTTGGAATATACTATTACTATTCTGATAGCTTGATTTTCATATTATTAAAAGAATCTGAAGACAAATACTTGGAGTCGAGTGCCTGAGTACATGTGACTGCTGTATCTATTTGAAGCCTTGCCTTTGCTGCACTCCTTTTGAGTCGACATCAACTCATGCCGTCCAAACAGGCATGTGTATGTCATTCTCTTAGTTCGGAAATTATGATGACAAACAGGTTTTTTTAGCTCTCGGTTCGTTTCCAGTTCAAAGCAGTGCTGGATAAAACTGACAAAACAAACTACATAAGATCAGGCCATTTGTTGAATATTTTGAGAGTGTAAACAACCTACAGATATGGCAGCACTATGTGTGCTGACGATTTCCTCGTGAAGTATGAAGCAATTATGTTCCGTGTGCATTATATGGGTAATTTAACTATGCTCCATAAGGTGCGACAATACAGTTATCTGCGTCGACGTTCTTATCAACACGAGTTTGGCCATGAACGAGCATTCATTTGAACAGATAACAGGCAATTCGAACCTTATCGGTTGAAGAGATGTGGATCAATACGGGGTTTGACAACATTTCTTGTCCACACACCGACATCAGGCCGTTCAAACTATGATGAAAAGGCGGTAGTAGCGATTTATATGCACTGGAAAAAGATCTACAGGGAAGAACAAAAAGGATTCCTTAAGGTCATTATAGGAGACTTTAATAGTAATAATAGGCCCAGAAGGATGTCCGTACAACGTTACATTGGCACCCACGGATTACAGTAGAACGAACAGAGGGAGTGGCTCCAAGTTTCTCATGACAACGAAGACCATTTCTAATCTACAATAACGAAATAGAACACATCATGGCAAGTCAGAGGCTTTTCCTAACCAATGTCGCTGTTGTTCTGAAATTTTTACTGGATCACCTCCTTCGAGGACCCCATTTTTCGCAGAGGTGACAGAGAGGTGCGAAATTTCACGAACGCTCAAAACCACCACAAAATGGCGTTTATTCAGATCATTAGATGACCATTGGGATGATGCCATAATCGATAGCATCAATGAAGAAGACGGGCGGCTTATTCCATATCTTCACACTAGTTCTAGAAAGCTAGGAGGAAGTTCTAGGCAATTCCAACTTAAGTCCCAACTTGCACAGATCTATAGAAAAGAAATAAAAGTAGGTCTCAAGAGGAGAAGAGCAATAGTAATTGCTGATGCCGAAAAAGTGAAGAACATTGCACCGCCCGCCAAAATTTCGTCACTAACTGCACTCCCACGTAGGTGGACCTGTTGCAGTTTCTTAAAAGGCATTGGAAGAAATCATTACGATTTTTACAACGGCTACATCGTCCTACCTGTACATGAAATGATAGGAGACGGTTGTGTTACCTCACCTGTTCTTCATTCCGAAATCCAACTTGCCATTTTGTCGGTGAAGAATCGTACAACACCTAGCCTGGACATGGTAATTCCACAAGGGGTTTGGCTAACTTTCAAGAGCATGGAGGGTGTAGTAAACAGAACAAAAGACAACCGAATCCGTGCACATTTATTCGACTCTGTGATTTCCTCTGCCTTAACGTACGCGTTAAAAACTTGGTTACCACGTTAGGAGAATGGAGGAGCACTCATCCTTATACACCGCGCAGTTGAGAGGACGATGTTAATGGCTCGTATCACGCAAATGAGAGAAGGAATATAAAGGTCTAACGCACGCCAACGATCAAAAATCGGAGACTACTATGCACACCAAATTGCCGGAAATCAGGTGGGCGGGATACGTGGTGCATTTAAGGGATAAGAGTCGTTTGCCAATAGATTTCGCTCCAAGGATGTCAGGTGTACAGCAATAAAACCACCGGTGCGATACTCAGTGTGCTTTACAAAGATCTGAGAAGAAAGAAATGCTGACGGAAATTTTATTGTCCCATTCTTTCGTCACTTGACGATTAACACAAAGAAGGGTAATACAGGTGACTAACTCGCCATAGTATTGGTGAAAGTCGCCTTGGAGATCTTTATTAGGCATCTCACACTAGCTCTTTATAGCGAATCTGGAAACACTGGATCTTCAAGTATTCAATCGTTTTATGGCCCCGAAAATGCCAATTCTCTTGGCTGCAGTTTTCTGATGGTCTTATGTGATGTGGTGAAGAGCGATTGAGGAGATATGTGCTACACGTGGCTTGTGCTTACGTGCGTTTCAGCTGTTTCGAATCTCAAACAGATTATTATAAATTTATATTAGAATTTATTTCCATTGTATGACCCAACATCACATGTATCACACTGTGCGGATATCAGCACTTCCTGTATTCGCTCCATTTCCTCGCATCCACCGTCCATTAAGTTCTTCGCACTTTTCTGCACATATGATCGGGAGCTGCTTGGGGTTCCCATCTTCGTTATGAATCTTTAAATGATGGTGGTTTGGTTTCTGAAACATTTTTATGAATCTTGTTGAAAATGCTGCTCTAGTGTATTCTTTCTGAAATCCTGAGGTACCTGTATAATGACGTTCCCATGCCGATTAGATGGCGTGAGCTTGTCCCTGACAAGTGTGAAATCAATTTTCCCACACTAGAGAGGTGGAGGGCTTGGCGGGCTCAGGATGGAGCCGAAACAATGCCTGGATAGGTTCCGTCATTCACGTAATGAACGACATCATTAGCACTGAGCTACCCACTCCCAATCTTTATATACAACAATATTTTTGTAGTGAAAACTGAAGGGCAATGTCAAGTAACCAGAGTATAAAACACATGAACAACAACATGATCAGCACGCGAAGGTGAGCTGAAAAAGAAGAACAACGAAGACAGCTAATAACAGCAAAGAATCAATTAAGTACTTAAATAGTAGAACGAAACGGTAGCATTGCTATACATCATAAATCAAAAAGAACACCATCGAGCGATATCGTAACAGGATGAATGGATTGAGCTAGTAGGCGGGATTGGATTATTCTAATCCAACATCTCCTCGAAAAGAGTATCTAGGGTGGACAGAGCATCTCCCGGTTTTGGGTCAACTGCAACCGGTATAGGAGTGATATAAGGGCGTCCGCCAGAGTTGATTTCTTAATACAGAGGCAGTGTTATACAAGTAACAATAAAGGAACATAATAAACATGGTAGCGCTAAAATATGGAAAATATTCTCTGTACATTGTCTCCCAAATTAAAAGAAACTCTCAAAGACAGGGGTGGGGGAAAAATAGATATAAAAGGAGATTTAGTGCTCACGCATTCTCCACAATTCGTGCCGTCTTTGCACAGTTCTCATCCATTCAATCGCGACCAGCGAGAATGAAAGTGGTCTGTGCCTATGAATGTTATATTATTCTCCTGCTTATGACGTGAACTCATTTGACACTAAAGTGATCTGCTGTTTAAGAAATTATACAAATTTTGTCTTCTTGCAGTAGTTTGATACACAGAGGAAACCAGTCACTAACGGCACTTGTCCATCGGTTATCGTTCATAAACATCATTTGCTCGGCATGTCTTAATTTCATTAGCTTGGCGTAATGAATGGCACGTTCGACTTTCGGTCATTGACGCAGGTCGGAGCTTCGGATCCCTTCCCTCACTTGCGTGCCAGAGGATGCTCTTAACATGATCCCTTCGACTGCGCGTTTAATAAACCTGAGTGATCCTTAATCCGGCTTATGCAGAGACCGAGTTTCTGACGCATACGTTAAGGTAGGGAGAATCGTGGACTTGAAAAGAGTCGGGTGTTCTTTGTACTCCTCACTACATCCCTGATGCTCTTGAAAACTACTCAAGCTGCTCGCCTTATCCTGCTCGATTCTAGAGCTCAATCGATCATCATGTTGACTTTTTGGCCAACACACGCGCAGATGAGCGCGAATGGAGCATAAGAAACCAAGCCGTACCTCTTGAATATCGTGCTTCTGAGATTTAGTCAAAATCCAAGTCTTTCCACAGTCGTTATCAAAGTCGACAAGCATTCGTTCCGCCTGGCCAGTGCTCGGTGTTATAAGAACAATGTCATCAACAAAGCGAAGACCGGTGTAATTGCCGACCATCGAT